TTTAGAACTTTCGTCACCAGTCACCTTTAACTTCTTTGGGTATGCCACTTTTCTATGTAGAAAGTGCGCAATTGCGCCACTTTACCTTATACATTCCTTTATCTGCTATTCATTCGTTATCGACCTCCACTGAGGAGCTCCTTAATGAGCGAAACAGCTGTCTGGAGGATATGGAACATCTACCCCAGAACGAACTTCCTCGCTATGGTGTGGTGTTGTGAATGTGGGCCACGAGCGCAGTGTGGAGAGGTGGACGGTTCAGTTTATTTTCAAATGGGTGAGTTTGTCGCAAATTCTGTGTACTTGTTTTTCGATTTTGACAGCATGTTACAAGGCCAGGACGCGTAGTGCTCCTGACTACAACCATAACCCGGCTGGCAAAATCGAAAAACATGATAAACTACCAAGCAAGGCTTCTTCTGTGCACTTGTTGTACTACATGTACTGTAGTTCAATGATTTTCAATGATTATGTAGCTTGGTCAAGGCCGAAGGGACAGTCCCCAGCAATCGTACGCTGGGAGATGTCCCTTCGAGTGCCGTTCTCTTTCAACAGCGTGTGGTAGTGAGGAGCTCAGTGGTGGTTGCATGCCATGAGCTCCTGGCCCGGGTGCCCCAGCAGGAGAGGCGCCAGCTGAAGTCTTCTGAGCATGCTGTCAAGGACAACTGTTGAAGGCTAGCCGAACAGTATCCCCTGGGGCAATACGATGACAACCTGTCACCTCTAATGAACTTCAAAGTGAGTAGAAAAGAATGGGCTCAGAGCTCAGAGCTCAGCTCAGGAGTCAGTGACTGGAGTGCTATAGCTACTCTCAAGCACACACCATGCACACACACACACACACACACACACACACACACACACACACACACACACACACACACACACACACACACCAAGAGATCAGGCATGCACATGCAGTGGCCACAGATTGTGAAGACAATGACCGTGCACGTCATGATGCAGCTGAGCTGAGCTGACAGGTGATGGTGTGATCACAAGATCTTGGCAGACCGTAATGTTGGACAACAGGTGATGTCGCGTACTAAAGCTGGGCTTATTCGACCCTGTAGAAGCCGATGTCATGGCTAGGCTTCTATTCGCATCAGGCTTCTATTCAAACCAGGTATTTCTATGTCACGGTGTCAGCGCTAAAAGCAGGCTTATGTGCCGACAGTGTATCTTGAAAATCAGGCTTGTATTCAAAACAGGCTTCTATAATTACGAGGCAGGCTCAAGAATCTAGACGCTCTGGTTACTACACACACATGGTCCAGGATAGTGATACAGAGTCAGTAGCCTACACTGCACAGGTCACCGATGAAAACTTACTACTTGTAGTATGTAGTCTGATCCTACACTACAGACAACAGACTGCAGTGTGCACAGCACTATAGACTATCCTACACTACAGACAACAGATTGCAGTGTGCACACCACTATAGTATAGAGTGACAGTACTGGTATAGCCTAACCCTAGGGCAGTAGAGGATGAACAATCCCAGCCGACCAGTACTGGTATAACCTAACCCTAGGGCAGTAGAGGATGAACAATCCCAGCCGACCACTCTACACCAACTACATGTGCACAGCAGTTGTGGCGACGGTTCGGTGCACCACAATGCCAGAGTCAATGTGGGATGTGATACACACACGCACGCGCACACACACACACACACACACTCCCTCTCTCTTTCCCGCTCTCTCTCTCTCTCTCTCGCTCTCTCTCTCTCTCTCTCTCTCTCTCTCTCTCTCTCTCTCTCTCTCTCTCTCTCTCTCTCTCTCTCTCTCTCTCTCTCTCTCTCTCTCTCTTTCTCTCTCTCTCTCTCTCTCTCTCTCTCTATCTATCTATCTCAATCTATCTATCTATCTAGTATCTCTCTCTCTCTCTCTCTCTCTCTCTCTCTCTCTCTCTCTCTCTCTCTCTCTCTCTCTCTCTCTCTCTCTCTCTCTCTCTCTCTCTTCTCTCTCTCTCTCTCTCTCTCTCTCTCTCTCTCTCTCTCTCTCTCTCTCTCTCTCTCTCTCTCTCTCTCTCTATCTCTCTCTCTCTTCTCTCTCTCTCTCACTAGTATTTACTGTAGCCCATGAGCACGGTGCAAAATTGGACTTGACCACTACTAGTACCATGGCTAATACTAGTAATATCTGTATCTCTGATGATGAGTACATGTATTTTGCCTCCCATGCTCACTGAGTCCCTCTTCAGGCTCTGACCGCTCCATTCCCATACTCACTGAGTCCCTCTTAAGGCTCTGACCGCTCCATTCAAGAATGTGCTACTGAACAGTGCAAGGTAACATGGCTGCTGCACTCGTGACTCAATAAATTCTGTTTTAGCTAGTATAGTTAAACACTGTATTCGCCTACCGGTATGCAGAGTTGGTTGAAGTCCTCTAGGCACTGTAGAGTGGTAACCCACCATGCGGCGGCATGTGATGGTTTACAGATACCATATTTTCTGAAGTATAGACCTTATTCGATAATGTATCTTTTGGACTCGCCTCCAGGGATTTGTCGTAAGCTAGGGCACGCGTACGAGAAAGGAGTTGCAAGAAAGGCCCAGTTCGTTCAAGGGAGTAGATAAATACTGGTATTTTCTACTCCCATGTTCGCACGCAGAGTCCACTGTGCACTGAGTGCAGGTCTCTTGCCATTCCCTGGTTCCCGGGACCCCGGTTCACGTGATTGTGACGTTTATCGAATAAGGTCTACATGTATAAACAGCACTTTAACCTGGTGGTGTGCACGGGTACTCGGGTACCCGTGCTACCCCTGAGGATCTCGGGTGGACGTGTACAGAATAGTACCCGAAAACCTGAAGTCGCAGATGACATCATGTATCGTGAGCGCATGTGTACAAATTCATGTAACACTCCGCATGTCTACCCAGTGTGTAAGGAAAGAGGTGTTGTTGTTGTTGTTGTTGTAGAAGTTTATTTAAAGGGGAAGTTAAGGCAAAAATTAAAATTTCACCAGTTGTAGTCTTCGGGGTGCTGAGTCGAATGGTCTTGGTCCGAGGAAGCTGAGACGCTCCCTTCCTACTTGAATCCCAATCGAACTCGCGCACTTCCACCGAAACTGGGTGACTGCGCCCTACTAGATGGGGATTTGTATGCAAAATGTCACTAAAAGCGCCATTTCGTTCTTATAAAAGCACGGATGACCGCGATTGGCCCATATGTTGTAGTCTTTTGGACGCTGAGTCGACTGGTTTTGGTCCGAAAAGGCTGCGATGCAGCGTTCCTCCTTTATTCCCAATCGAACATGGTTGAAGAAGCGGTCACGTGGTCCTGGGTGCCCAAATCACCTGGTCACCACGCCAGCAGGTGACAACTTTCACACCAAGGTTCAACTCGAGTTCAACTCGAGTGACAGGACTGCACCCAAAAAAGGTCAAACAGGCTAGTAAGTTGTACCCTGCAGGCACGGTGACCAGGTGACTGGTGTACGCAGGAGCACGTGACCGCTTCTTCAACCATGTTCGATTGGGAATAAAGGAGGAACGCCGCATCGCAGCCTTTTCGGACCAAAACCAGTCGACTCAGCGTCCCAAAGACTACAACATATGGGCCAATCGCGGTCATCCGTGCTTTTATAAGAACGAAATGGCGCTTTTAGTGACATTTTGCATACAAATCCCCATCTCGTAGGGCGCAGTCACCCAGTTTCGGTGGAAGTGCGCGAGTTCGATTGGGATTCAAGTAGGAACGGAGCGTCTCAGCTTCCTCGGACCAAGACCATTCGACTCAGCACCCCGAAGACTACAACTGGTGAAATTTTAATTTTTGCCTTAACTTCAGGCATAGTGGGATGGTCTAAGACCATGATTGAGAAACAGAGGGTACCAGGTTCAAGTCCTGCTTGGAAGCGGAAGGATTTTTTCCAGCCGTGCTGCGACCCACAGTTAATTGGGAACTCGTGGCCTGGCACGAGGGAAACATGGATGCAGTGAATGGGATTTCGGTCTTTGACCACTTTGTGGTGGGTCTGATCTACTCACCTCCCACCGCTTAGGAGCTGCATCTGCGCCTTGATCCAAGAGGGTGGTGGCGTTCCTGCGGATGCGGAAAACTGGGCCTTTGGCCGAGTCTCACGCGAACCGTGAAATTTTTTTTTTTTTTTTTTTTTCCCCTTTAACGTCGCACCACAAACAGGCGATTTCGCCTCCTAGGTGCACTGTGGTGTTACCATGGAACCATTATCCGATCGGGTACCCGTGCTACCCGTGGAAACCTACCCGAACCCGATACCCGAAGAAAATGCTACCCGACTCGGCCCTAGTTTAAACACCACCAATTCACCCAAACAAAGGCTTAAACTATGATGGTCAAATTAGCGGTGATAAATGAACTGTCTGTATTTCGTTCCCAAAAAATGCTTGCGGCTTATACTCCAGTGCGGCTTGTTCTCCGGAAAATGTGATGCAATTGACTCGAGTGTTCAAATGGCAATATGCAGTAGGTGCACGTTCTATACTCTACGGGCGGAGCGATGGAAATCTACACCGGCCGGTAATCTACGTATCCACAGACGTTTCCAGCTGTCCGTCTTGAATTTCAAGCGGGCTACAAGTCTGCTGGCACGTGTGGATTAGCAGTGTACATAGTACAGTACACTGGTTGCTGAGCTCACAGCCGTGAAAGCCCCTGCATTGACTCTGGGCTTCTTGAAGCACAGCCAAAGCGCCTGGTCACCTTTTAAAATAATCACGGTTTGCGCGAGACTCGGCTGGAGTAACCTGAGAACTCGTGGCCGGCCAACCTTGCAGCAGTGAAAACGTCTGCATGGACTTCGGGTTCCCTGTAGCACAGCCAAGCACCCAGCTATCCTGCACTGGCTGCAGCATGGGGTGGTCTGACCCCAGCTGGATGTTGAATCGGTACTGCACTCGAACACGTTACTAGTAGTCGGATTTCAGTTGCCACCTAGAACTACCTTTGTATGAATATAAAATTATTTTCAAATTAATAATAATATATTATCCAGCTGTCAGTACTTACAGAATTTGTGCCCCCCTCGGGTGGGCGCGGGTCGAGGAATGGCCGCTGCGCCATTCTCTTCGCTGCTCCGTTGTGCTCGTCGCACGACAACGCGACCGGTGCGGGTAGATCGGACCAGCGCCGAGCGGGTATCTGCCGACGTGCGCCCTGCTTCGCTCGATGAAAACCTTGACAACAAGTCTCAGTGAAGAACAAAGCGGCTGATAATTATGAGCTCACGATCACGGCACTACAGCCTACGCTGGCCACAGTATGTAGGGGTACGCAGCAGGACGAGTCCGTCGCAAACACCACCAGAGTGTGACGCTTCGCGATCTACGCTGAAAGACCTGGGCTGAGTGAGCTGAGAGCAAGCTGGAAGACAAAAAGAGACAATAAAAAAATACTAAAAATCATTGAATCATCCTGTCATGTAGGAGTCTGTACTGTCTGTAGTGTAGGCTGTAGCCAGTGTAGGTCTGGTGTACATCATTGTAAGAGGGGGAAGTACATGTAAGTTCGGAGTCGCACGATGTTTTTCACATTTATACTGGCATAATTATCATAATTATTATAGAAAAATTACTTCGAAGTATTATAATTATGCATCAAGTGCAATGGGCGCTTTCGATTACACGTTTACACAATTCTGGAACTGTTTTTTTTTTAATTCTGGAATGACTAGAATGAGCGGATTCCGGCCTTGTAAACGAACGACTGGAATTCACAACGCATTTTATTCATGTCATGTCACAAACAAAATTGATGAATCGTAAAAAGAGATCACGTACACCCTCGCGCACACGTGGACCTAGCATCGCGCACCCCCCTGCCAGGGAGGCTCTTCGCGCGCTAGAGTCATGACCAGACCGGTAACACACCGATTGTGCAATTCTGGCGCCAGAATTAGAGAAATTCCGCCCTCTCTTCAGAATTGACAGATTCGACGGAATTGGATAAAATCAATTCTTACGACAGAATTGTCACTTTTTGTGTAATCGAACTGTGCATCAACAATAACTAATTCTAGAATTGACCGAAATGCGTGTAATCGAAAGCGCCCAATGATACATGCATGGCTAGGAGAACTCACCTGCACTCTGCGTCTTGAGCAGGTAAGCAACTGTTACTTTGAGTTTGAGGCTGGCAGTGCAGTGGCACAGTGGTAGTGGTCGATTTACCACACTACGGATCACCTGCTTCTGCACGAAATCAGTATCTAGGTTTTTGGCCCAGCAAGCGCTGCCGATACATGTACTAGCACTCGATCTTCATCCGTTCACAAGGTCTGATCGGGTACAAACCGACGCTGCGAACAAGCGCCAGGTGTTATATTGACACACACGCATGCATAGCATGCTCGATCGCAGCCAACGAAAGATGGGCCGGGCGGCCGGGCCGCGGGCCTGGCAAGGCCACATGCACACGAATCATGGTGGTGCCGCTTCGGCCTAGATAAAAATAATGTCATGTGAGCTGGCCAGCCGCCGAGATGCGATCTCCCGATGTCGGATGAGGGATTTCCCCTCGTTAGCAGTTGTGTCTGGGGAAGTACCTGGTGTGGGATTCCTCTCGCACACCGCTTTCCGGGCACGTGCATGATGCCCAATGGGCGATATATTGGCAAAGTAAGTAGTTATTTATTTTGGTGCAGCTGAGAGCCTGTTGCTGGAATGGCGGTATTTTCAAGTGCAAGAAATACGCTGCAATGGAGTTTGGGAATTCTGAAGAAACGTGCAGCAAGCACTTCAAGTTATAGTTCAGACTGCATGCAGCTACATTGACATTGTAGCTGGCACATCACATGCACAGGCTTCAAACCAGTACTGTACATGTACATGTACATGTACTTCAAAATACATGTACATGTACCAACAAGAGCATACTGCGTGCATTATTGATCTTGGTTTTTCCATTATTATTAATTTTGCCATGGCGACCCCCGTAAGTCCTAATAACTGGCAGGGCAGGGTTGGGCCTTTTTCTTTTTCTACGAGTCTCATTAGTATGTTCTGTTGCCCAAACAATTTTTTTAGTGTCTATTTGAATTCGGATAGCTCAACAGTACGGCTGCGTTTACACGACAACGCTGGGAGTGAAAACGCAACAAAATCCTTTTATTTCGGATGCATGGTTCATTTACACGGTACGAAGAGCAAAACGTAAAAGTTGTACACCAAAACGGAAGAAAACCAAAACGCTGGCCAAGGTGGAAGAATTTGAAAACGGAAATGTTCTGCCGGATAAATTTGAGTGTGTAAACAGTCGAAACGGTGTGCTGGCCTCGTTTTCCGTCACGTTTGTTCCGTTTTCACCCGTTCGCACGGATCCGGCAATCCTTTTTTTTTACAATTTTCGTCATGTGACGAGTGTTGTTTTGTGGCCTGTTTATAACTATTACTTGAGTGTGATTGGTGCTTCCACGACAACACTTACTTGGCACATGACGAACTTTTGCGGATCCTTTGCCCCCGTGTAGATGCGCGAAAACGATACAAACGGAGACCACCTCAGATCAACTTTGATCATGTAAACGCACGAAAAGGAAAGAAGAAATGCGGTAGGCCTCGACCAAATAGGCTTGCGCATATTTCCGCATATTTTGTGAGACAGCTCATATAATTATGGCATATTGAGCGACAAAGGGAATATTGGAATGGAGCCAGCATATAATTCAAATATTCTGAAGAAAATGAGGACAAAACATTCATAATATGGACAAAATTCGTTCAGAAATGCCTTTTATGGATGAATTTGGAATGGTTGAAGCGTTTGCTACATTTCCCCATGGATGAACACTATCGCTACGGTTGCTGGGAATACACCCCAGCCATACTATTCGGAATGTGTTTTGATTTGCACCATAAGCATGATAGCCGTGAAGCCAATGAATATTCCAAGGTTGTAATTTTACTGAAATGATCTACACTTTCTGCTTATGTCGAGCATATTTTGGCATATCTCTTTGCATATCATGCTAAGCCTTTGGCATATTATGGACGTTTTCCCTGATATGCGACGAGCATAATATGCTCTCTTTTAAGCATATTTGGTCGAGGCCTAAAAATGCGGGACTGAAAACGGAAAACTGGCCGTGCGTTGTCGCGTAAACGCAGCCTAATAAGTATGACCTGATGACTGTGGACTTGTGGAGTTCAAACCCCAGTTGAGGACTTGATGTGCTTTTACCCATTTTCATTTCAAATTTCGCGGCACTGCAAAGTGTGCTATAAAAGCAACAAAATCAACAAAATCAAGTACCCGTAATTAGTACGGGAACTCACCAGAATTAGAGACCAGTTTTGATGAATGGACTAATATAGGAAGCCGGTGCTCAGGTCACCATATTCATGTCAGCGCGGTGGCTCTACGCAGGGGCGTACGCCGCTCGCCTCCTGGAGCGGTTCCCATGCCAACTGATGAACCAACATTCCACACAATTGAAGTGCTGTATTTCGTATCCCACGGAGTTTCTGCATATTCTCCTCAGACTGGGTGAAATTTTCATCCACAAGCTGCTAGACGATGTCATTGCTACGCATTTTTGATTTCAAAAGACTGAACTTTTCACCGTTTTATGGATGTTTTGTTCAGCATGACGATTGCGTGCAGTCTTGAAAGCTGCCTAAGTTTCGAATCATCTGGAGCAAACATCACACAGGGCAAGCAGAGGCCACCATTGCACGCCGGTCAAAAGACTACCCAAGGTAACTCCTGTAACAAGGATAGTTGAAAGTGGCGCTGTTTGCCATCCATCTGGACACGCACAGGAAATGAAATCCTTTGCCTTCGGTGGCGCACAATGATTGTCGGTGACGCCGGAAATCTTTTCCGTGTCCGGCAAATGTCGGGGGACTGGATTCCACTGTGGACGTCGACTTTCAGAATATTCCTTCGAACACATATCCCTTCCAACACACTCCCATGTCACTGAAGTAACAACGGTCGCTCTACAGCTTCGCCGACGATTTCTTCCTCAGCGCTGTTCGTTGCATGCAGCCTTCGCTTGCAAGTCAGGTGCGTCACCATTCTCATCTATCTCTTGACCTTCGCCACTAGCACTGGCTACACGCTGTGCCTGCTGCTCAAAATAGCTCTGAATATAGCGCTGGCCCTCTGGATGTCGACGCTTCATTTTTCTTTTCCACAAAGCGAAAAATCGATCAAAACACGACGAACTTCGTCAAAACAAACTGCAAAGGAAATTTGACTCTGAGATCGAGGAATCCGGCGATCTAGGTAGAGACTTTGTTGAACCCAGTCCAGTACTAGGTGTAATGGGTAGCCGAGTGGTAGGCGCGGTGAAATCAACAAGAATTACTTTTATTCTACTTCTTTCAGGTACACACCTGAGATATAATTATTAGTGAAAGAAGAAACGGCAAAATGACTGACTTTCTCTCCGGTGCACACCTGGAGGTTGAATAGCTCGTTATTATCAAAATCTCATCTTCTTCAAAACAGAAATGCGCAGCCGCTTTTATGCAGCAGACGCCGTACGCTTACATACGGAGATACACTAAATATACATCAGGCAAAGCTCCGTATTAGTTCCGCACTGCTTCCGTATTGGTCGGGCAGGGATACTACAGTACACTGTGTCCCAGCACCGCTTTCACACCTGGGCTAGTCACCACAGTCCTCGGACCGTCAGCATGGTCAGGCGCGGACTCCAGGCGCTAGGCATGCACTTGCACTGCGAGCGCTGGGCCTGAAAAAGCTGGATCCAAAATATTCTGTACCAATATCGAATATTTTTACTGGTTCCAGGGCATCCCGGGAACCGCGCGCCCTATGTACGCCCCTGCATACGGAGTCATACATATACGGACCCTGACTAGGCTTTCCCCAAATCGGCCCGTTTTTCGCCTATTCAGCTTTTCGTTCGGTTAAAAAAATTATACATCAGACTCGGCTGCAAAATCAGCTGATTGTTCGAAAATCGGCTGCAAAATTGGAATATATTATTGGAAATCGGCTGAAAGAATCATATTATTAAATCTTTATTTCTGGATTACCCAAAGGCTAACGCCTATCTGGGGGATCTCCTATATTTAAAAAAGAAAAGAACAAGCATGTAAATCAATGATTTATTATTTTATTTAAAGAGTCGGCGTGGAGAAAGCAATTTTATTAGTGCAATTAGGAGTATAATCGATGCAGACATGGCCAGACAACAACGAGTTCATGGAATTTTTAAGGATTTTTATGTTATTCAAAATCGATTTTCGTGTTCCGCTCATCAGTGAATAGTATCGGAACTGAGGGTACTGTGTACAACAATAGAACATTTTATAACAGCATAATTAATTAAAAGTGTGAACAACAAAGGAAGTGCTACAGCATTACATACTAGGTGTCAAACATAGTGCTAACGTATATAACTGAGTGCAGCCACAAAGCAAGAGGTGATACAGTGCAACATGACACAACATTTACATCTGATAACCAGCTACGAGAACAACTTTAGCGCGACTACATGCTTCTTTTGTTTACAAAGAACAGTCGAAGGAAAGGAGCGGAATGAGACGGAAGAGAGCGACGTGAGCAAAAAGTCAGCTGTATTTTGTCACTTGTTATCACGTCCAGATTGTCTTGGTGTGTACGATGATTCTCACTTTTCTGTTTTGTGCCGTGCAAGTTATGTTAAGCAGTTGAAGGTTCTGGAAGCTGTATGTATTCGTGTGCATAATCCTGTTCTTTGTAAACAAAAGAAGCATGTAGTCGCGCTAAAGTTGTTCTCGTAGCTGGTTATCAGATGTAAATGTTGTGTCATGTTGCACTGTATCACCTCTTGCTTTGTGGCTGCACTCAGTTATATACGTTAGCACTATGTTTGACACCTATTATGTAATGCTGTAGCACTTCCTTTGTTGTTCACACTTTTAATTAATTATGCTGTTATAAAATGTTCTATTGTTGTACACAGTACCCTCAGTTCCGATACTATTCACTGATGAGCGGAACACGAAAATCGATTTTGAATAACATAAAAATCCTTAAAAATTCCATGAACTCGTTGTTGTCTGGCCATGTCTGCATCGATTATACTCCTAATTGCACTAATATTATTTTATTACTAAATTTTGAATAGGGCAGTCCCAAAGGCCTAGGGCCTTGGGATTGCACATCAAAGGTGTACCAGTGCAATTGAACTGATACTTAGCAATGTGAATACGTAAATGACGCTTGAATTCAGATAGGGAATCTAAAGTTGTCAATCGGGGTGGAAGACAATTCCAAAGAGAACCAGTTTTCTGTAGGAAAAGGGACGGCACTAGCCGCGAGCTAGC